TCCTTACTATAAAATTGGTTAAGCCAAAACAAGGAACTACTTAGGGGCCTATGGGTAGATTCCAAGAGGCCCTTGGCTCGAAAGCAAAGCGATGATCTGAGCAGGTCATGTGGATCATTACGACCGGGAGAATGCCGGATATTCGGTCCGTCATGGCCGCATCCGCGTCTTGGCTGCTACCGAGTGCCGGGGGTCTTGGGGGCCAGGTTTGGATGCTTCCCGATAAGAGCTACACCGGCACTCCTCCCCCGTTTCCCGTGTCTGACCCACTGTGTTTCGAGCCTTACAGTGCGGTCTGCCTAGTTGTGCCATGTTTGCCACAGGTGCAGCAAGAGCTGTTCATGCCGCTTTTTCAGTTTGGGTCTACACTCTCAAGCAAAAGGAGCGCCGCTCGAATTGCCAAAACATGCCAGATATCACGACACACATTCTACTAGTCTCTTGTCGTGAAAGCCTTGACGTCGGTCTTAACCCGTTTTAAGCTGCCCGAAGCAACACATAGACATGGACATTGGGTTCAACATGATCTTTAGCAGCCGCCTGTTCCCTTTCGGCTTACGCACGAAAACTCAGGGTCTACGTACCCCCAGCCGGACCGACGGGAGGTGTCTTTTGGTCAGAGCAGAGGGCAATCTATGTAGAGTCGATTCATGCAGCGGTGTCCTCATAGAAAAGGGGGCCTCGCACTATAATCTGCCCCAGAAACCTAACAAGATTGTCAAGGCTCCCAGAGTATGCTTCGCCACGCAAGCTACTGCACGATACAGGCCAAAGCTTGGTTGGTTGGTGGGGATTCTCCGTTTGTAGGGTCTAGGACTCACTACTACAAGCCCTAGACATCACGGAGGAGCTTTGGTAAATGGTTTTCAACAAAGACATCTGCAACATCTTGAGATTGCCTTCGATCCCGCTAAATCGAAAGACAGCAATCGTCGCTAAATCGAAAGAAAGCAATCGTGTCAATCTTTAGCAAACAGCAACATTCCCCCCGTCACTCAACACGTACATAGAATACAAGTATGGCATGGTCGATGTCCCTAGAGCCCTAGATTATTGAAGGCATTTCTAGTTCGGCCACAATCTGTACCATTGGCTTCCGTCCGAGGCTTCCCAAGGACCAGTCAGGTGACACTGGGTGTGTGAAACACTTAAAAAGGCAACAACAGATAACTGCAAGTAGAAAGCGCTGAGAGGTTTCGTGCACCTTCACAACTATCCCACCTATCGCCGCGAGCTGCTGGTTGGGGTCGCGTCGACGATGCAGCCCCTAGGCTTAAATTGTCTTTTAGGGTTCAGGGGTTTCGGGGTTTAGGGTTTAGGGGTTTAGGGTTTAGGGGTTTAGGGGAGGTACGAACAGTCGATCGAAAGGTTCTCGCTGACAAGACGAAGAAGATCTGTGAAACGGTCAAAGCCCTAAGCACTGCGCGGAATTGCCTTACATTCGAAGCTCTCGCCTTAGCCCGAGTATCAGAGCCCAAACCCTCCCTTAAACTCCCATGATCCTGCTTTTTTTCCGGTAGGGCCCTAGTATACTAGGTTTGGGGTTTGGGGTTTAGGGCAAAAGCTCTAAGATAGAACTCAGATATGGAGACCTACCAGGAAGGGGGGTTCTGATGGCTGGTGATACAGCCTGAACCCCAGGAGGTTGGTCCCCAAACCCCTAAACCCCTAAACCCTTCATCCCTACATCCTAAACCCTAAACCCCTACTTAAACCCTAAACCCCTAAACCCCTATAAACCCTAAACTCCCATAAACCCTAAGCCCCAAAAATCCCCCTAAGCCCTTGTCATGAGGGAAACAGAGGGAGCCATGGATTCGACTCCTTCCACAGCAGCTGCTGCCGCTGCCGCTGCTGCTGCAGAAAATCGACCCATCCGTGTAGAGCTCCGAAGTGCTGTGAGACTCAGATGTCCGAGTGGGGTTTAAGCTCTAGGGAAGCTGCCTAAACCCTAAACCTTACTTATATATATATATATATAACTATATAACATATAACATATATATATATATACATAATAAACCCTACACCCTAAGCCCCCGTGCTGCGGAGAAAGGGTCACTGCACTTAAAAGAGAACCCTGAAACCCTGTACGCCTTAAACCTTATAAACCCTAAACCACATAAGGTGTGTTAAAGTGTTAAGGTTGACATGTCAGGGTTTGGAGAGGAAGCGTAGCTTCGATGGATTCCGTTTCAGCATCAGGGTCCGGTAGTGTAGGAGGGGTAGGTTGAGTATTGAGCGCTATGTTTAGCAGTGTTTCAATCATTCAGGTCCCGACAATACCTTGATGGTCGTAGGTTGCTGGACGAATACTTCCGGTTTCAGGATGCGAATAGCGTAACAAGTACTATCAAGCACTTGCATTGCATTCGCAAGCATTGCTACATCTAGCTGTCCTGCTTGTGACCCTACTTTGCAGTACCTTGCTCCGTCAAGCCAGGAATGGGGATCTACTGTCTGAGCTTCAGCAGGAAGCGCCGTGTGGCGTAGGCGATTTGCAGTGTCGTCTGGCCGCCAGATTCTGCGATGGTGCTCGGCCCACCTTGCTATTCGATGGCTCTCCTCTGGCTTCAACGGATTTCCTTTATGAGGATGTTTCTTTGGCCGTGGTTCGTCGCGCATTGCCGGAAGAAGAGGCAGCCTCCCTTCATGCGGCTCGCACAGCCATGTCCCATGTAAGGGCAGAGCACCTCCAACTTGTCAAAGATCTGAGAATGCCGCCTGAACCGGTGCGGGACGTACTGGCTGCGACGATGAGCCTGCTCGATCTAAGAGAGCACTCCTGGATGCTGGGTTCTTGTTAAGGGATTTAAGTTAAGTTGCCATAATCGGGATCTATAGTAAATAATATGGTTTCCTTATTATGGTAACTTTAAATTTAAATCCCTTAACAAGAACCCAGGATGTCGATGAAAAAGTTCCTGTCTCAGAGGGCAATCGTCTCGAGGCTGATCGCCCTGGAGCCCCACCAAGTGAGCTTCGACAGTCAGCTCGCCGTGCAAGAGATTGTGCGTCGCCACTCCAACAGCTTCACGAACGAGGTCATCAGTCGTTGCTCTATAGCTCTCGCTCCTTTCGCGACCTTGGTGAGGGCGTTCCTAGTGTGCTGGAAAGCTTGACTGCGAGCGGAAGAGGCCCCTCGATGCCTGATTGCGTTAGGGGTTAGGGTTTCTGGGCCCCCAAACCCTAAACCCACACTAAACCCTAAAACCTATAAACCCTAAACCCTAAACCAAGGCAACCCGAGGCCTTAGACACACTAAGCCCTAAGCCCGGATCCTCAGCTTTGGTAGAAACATCCCTTGGGCCGTTAAAGCTTCCAAAGGCCAAACCCCACCTTCTGTAGAAGCCGTCATCTTTTGAGAAGGGTTTGGGAAGATCTCCATGATCCTATAGGGACTCTATGGGCCATATTCGCAACTAGTTCTTCAGACCCATAGGAGTTGCTCCCCCCTCCCCATCATCACGGTCCATTTTTTCGGAGTTTAGCATGTACCATGACATTTATCGGCATCGTCATCGTCACGGCTGCTGGTCTGAGGAGATGGGGAGCCTCTGAATTTCTGACTACTTGTCTGTTTGAGCTCCCGGTGAATCTCAACTACACAATCCCAACGCCCCGGACCATCCCCACAGTCCATCAGAGTATATATCTCACGTAAGCTGGAAATTTGCCAAGAAAGTTACCATCGTAAAGATCTGTAGTGGGCTGGAGAGATCTATAGTGAATAGATATGGCTTCCTTATGATGGTATCTTGCACATCAGGCTAAGGCCCCTCGAGCCCCGATACTGTGTGACAACTGGTGTTTCGTACACCCCAATACCCATAGTAGTTCGTCTTTGGGATTAAACTTATAGGATCCTCAATATAAACCACAACAAGGAACTATGATGGAGTTTCTGGGTGCAGCAACGATTACAACAAAGCTTTTGATTCTCAAGACACCCCAAGCCCTACAAGCCTTTGCCGCCTCTTGCACGCTCCCTCCTCCACTGGTGCAGGTTCTCCAACACTGTAAACTTAGGCCATCAAGGCCCTAAACCCCTTAACGCCTTCACCTAAACCCTAAAGCCTAAACCCTATAAACCCCATAACGCCTATAAACCCTATAAACCCTAAACCCTAAGAGTACTCGAACCCCTCAGGCTCAAGCCCTCAAGAATGCAGCCATGCAGCCCCAAGAGCTGTCGCAGCCATCTCGATATGGGTGGGTCCCTTTTAAAGGGTCCAAAAAATAAAGGGTGCCGTACTATATTCGGAACTTAAAAGAGACTCTGACTTAGAGAACTACCCATATCGAGCCAGGGGTACTGCTGTTTCCGGGCTGTCTTGCTACCTCCATAGAAGGTCCATGACCCAGTCAAGGTTTGCTTGGTCTCTCAGATTTGGAGGAAGCCCAAACCGTCGAACCCGGCTCACCGACCAAGCAAACCCTCAATCATGGACGGTCTTGCCGCGAGGGACATGGAGCCGCACCAGCCGACTCGTTCCCCTGCCGAGAATCGCCCCTTCCGTGTTGAGTTCCGGAGCGCGTTGAAACTTAGCTTTCCAGAGGAAGCCAGTTTTGAAAAGTGTACCCATAGGCTCCATTGCAGTTCCTTTTTGGGCTTACCTTATAGGATCCTAGATAGAAACCAGAAGAAGGAACTACTATGGAGCCTATGGGTAGGGTGCCTAATTTAAATAATGGAGCCTCTGGGTAAGGACTATAGTCACCGGGATTCTTCTTCTTTCAAACTTCGGTTTGAGGATTTGGTTTAGAGACGGCGGTGAACCGGTTCGGGGTCAGGGATGGCGGTTTAGTGGAATCGGGGTAGGTTGGTTTGCAGTTTAGGGGACATGGTTTCATAATTTCGGAATACCACATTCCCAGGAGGAGCTGTGCGGCAAAGTTGTTGCAACCCTACTTGAAAGGCCTAAGCATGCCTAAACCCTAAACTTCAGCTACCTTTTCCCAGCAAGTCAGGAACGGGGATCTACTGTATGAGCGGCAGCAGGAAGGACCATGTCGTGTGGGCGATCTGCAGTGTCATTTGGCCACCAAGTTAGGCGATAATGTTCGCCCCACCTTGCTCTTCGATGGCTCTCCTCTGGCTTTAACGGATTTCCTTTATGAGGATGTTTCTTTGGCCGTGATTCGCCACACTTTGTCACAAAGGGCTGCCTCTGCGTTGCAGTCTGCTGGCAAAGCAGTTTCTGGGGTCAAGGAAACTCAGCTGCAAGACCTCAAGTCTATAATCAAGCCATCTGAGATGATGCTGGACGTGATGGCTGCTATTCTGAGCCTGCTCGGTCAAAGGGAGCACTCGTGGCATTCGATCCGAAAGCTGTTAGGTCGATATGAACTACCGTCCAGGCTTGTCGCCCTCGAGCCCCACCAAGTACCCTTCGAGAGTCAGCTCGTGGTGCAGCAGATTGTGGAGCAACATGCTGACAGCTTCTAGGTTCCCCCGAAGTACCCTTTTGACCTTTTTGTTTTGGGGTCTCCTTATTAAAGCCGAATATTAGGGAAAAGGGTACCCTTATTACTAAGGAGCTACTGGGGAACCTAGGCTTTAGGCACGAGGTCATCGTAAAGTACGCCACGGCTCTCGCGCCCTTTGCTGCCTTGGTCAGGGCTTTCCTCGAGTGCTGGGCTGCCTGAATGCGTACCGGCAAAAATTCCTGATGCCCGTTGGCGTTTGAGGGTTTGGCCTTGGGATCCTGCGGGCATACCTTACGAGCCCGCCAGCCGAACATCTCTTCGCCGTACCCATAGGCCCCTAAGTAGTTCCTTTTGATGGTTTATATTTAGAATCCTATAAGGTAATCCCAGAAAGGAACTACTTAGGGGCCTACGGGTAGAGCCTTCTAGAAGCTGGGCGCCTCGCCTCAGCTTGTAGGATGACCCGCGAGGGGTGGCATGCACGGTGCTAATGTTTGTAGGTACCCGGCATGCCGAAAGCCGAACATGTCTCTAAACAGCTACTGACATAGATACATGCATTCGTGTTCATATGTGTGTACACACAAGTTGATTTGCACACATAGTTGTCTATATACTTGGAGACTCTCGCACGCAAGCTACGAGCCAGCGCTGACTCGTAGCTTCAACCGCAGAGAACTTTGCCCATTTGCAAGCATTGATTTTAAATTAAAGACCAAGTGAACATATGGTTCACATGGCCACAAGGCATGGCGGGCCTGAATCGAATGTAGAAGCCTGAATATGTAGAAATAGTTTTCTGCAGCGTTCCTTTCTGCAACTATAGTATACTACACCGCAAAGCTTTTTTCCTATACTACGGGCTCAGGACTTCTGGGCTTAGAGCTCTTTCTAAAACCGAAATGCTCAGGGAGACCTGTATAGTCCAGAAGTTGAACCTCCCGCAGAAACTTTGGAAAACGCATAGGGTTTAGGGTTTAGGGTTGAGGGGATGGGGCCGTGGCTTCTGCATGGCTTTTTTCGCCAAGCAAACCTGCGTAGAACCGGCCTCGCCGGCCCCCCTAGTCTAGAGTGGTCCCCATCTCCCATCCCTGCCATGCCGTAGTTGCTTGTTAGCTTGTTACCAAGTCAAAAGAGCGCCGGCCCCCAATAATCGCTAAGTACCTGAAGCCCGACGGCACACCAACAAGAAGTTGCCGAAATGTTCAGGCGAAAGCAGCAAACATGCACACACCGATCGGGCTCGGGGTTTCTCTGGGTTTACATGGGATGTAGATGTTTCCGGGCATCGGATTTGTCTTAAAGGGCCTTGCGATGCACCGATTTGTGGTCTGGGCTTTCTATGGCTTCGATTCGAAGGTTTCGGAGCCCTAAACCCTAAACCCTAAAACCCTAAACCCTGAACCCTAATCCCCGGAATCAGAGCTTAGCTCTCTGAGCTCTTTAAAATGCTGCAGCCTGGAGCTTCATACATCGGGTTTTCGCGCCTCCAAGCTGGGCGATGGGAGCATCCGAATTTCTGATTGCCGAGCCTGGTTAAAGTTTATAACCCCTATAAACCCTAAACCCCTAAACCCTAAAGTTTAACCCCAAATTCAGCAGGTGTATTTCTCAGAAGAAGCCTCAACATTACCCCTTCGGGTTCCTTCAAAAAGTCACAAGTATACCCACCGGCTCCATCAGAGTTCGTTTTTGTGGTTTATATTTAAAATCCTATAAAGGTAACCCCCCCAAAAGAAATTACCATGCCCTGGCCTAATCCTTTCAGGCCCAGCGGATTCTCGCCGGGGGCGACTAAAGCAAAAGGAGTGTCGACTCCCCTCTTTGCATTTGCAGCACCCCTAAACCCTAAACCCTGAACGCACATACTCCCCGGGGGGGGGGTGTCTCCCAGAGAATAACATAAAGGTCGGGAAATGGCCACTTGAAGAGCACCGCGTTTTCGTACGATTGTCTCGCCATACAGCGTATTCTAAGAATCGAGTTTAAATCAGTTGTGACCAGCGAGTCTGATCTCCGTGATTTTCCTTTTCCGAGGTTAGACGTTTTAGGTTCAGGGTGCAGCGCTAGGGGTGCTATGACGCTGCCATCCTACCCTAAACCCATAAAGCCCTGAACCCTGAACCCTCGGGTTTAGGGTTTAGGGTCTAGGGTTCCATCATACCCAAAGCCCGAAACCCTGAACCCTAGGGTTTAGGGTACCCTAAACCCTAAACCCTGAACCCCTAAACCCTAAGAACCCCTAAACCCTAAACCCAAGACCCTAAACCCAAACCCTAAACCCTAGGTTCTAAACCCTAAATACTGAACCCTAGGTTCCTGGTGGATGAAGTGGCGGAAGCAGAACGCACCCAGGACTATCTGGCCGGGGGCTTGGCCAACTAAGGGCTGCCTCGCTCCGTCTGCAGCGATTTAGGGTCCGCCGGTTTAGGGTTTAGGGTTTAGGATTTAGGGTTTAGGCTTTAGGTTTTAGGCTTTAGGCTTTAGTTTAAGTATCGGGATCTATAGTAGGTATTCTGGTTTCTGTATTCTGGTAGCTTAAAGTCAATCCCTTAGCAAGAACCCTGTCACGGCATCCTACGGTCTACCTACAGTCTCCATCGTAGGTACATTTTCTTGCTTTCCCGATTTGATGCTAACGATCCTAGAAGGCAAGCCTAAAGACGAATCACAATGGAGACAAAAAAGGTAGAGTGTAGAGTTGAGGTGTCATTCCTAAACCCTAAACCCTAATTCCCGAACCTCGAACATGAATCAACCCTAAACCCTAAACCCTAAACCCTAATTAAAGTCTTGGGGGCTCCAAGCTCGAACCCTGTACCCTGCAGTTTAAAATAAAGCACCTTACCTCGGTTTAGGGTTTCGGGCCCTGAGAACTAATGACCCTCAACGTGGGTGGGTGGAGAGCGTGTTTAGGGGTTCGGGGTCCTGGATGGAACGTTCAGGTCTCCTCTCAAGAACCGTAATTCGTTATTCATTTCACCGCTAGCATAATTGGGGCCCTAAACCCTAAACCCTAAACCGTCACCATACTCGTACGTAGCGTCCAGGTCGAGCATGGTCCGGCTCCGAGAAGCCGTCTCCGGGGAAAGCATGTTCTCTGCCCGAATCCTTTAAAATCTGGGGCTGCTGAAAGGGCGGTCTGACTGAGTTGGTAGATTCGTCGAATCTTCCGCGCACAACGACATCGAGCATCATCTTCGGACCAGCGGGGCGCTTCGGCAGGGCTACCCGTTCCAGGCATGCCGCAGTTTTTTCACCTCGAACGGATATTTCATCACTGCCCATGGGGCATGCAAACCCCTGCATGACGTTGTCCACTGCAATGGCAAAGACCCTACATCGGGTGAGGCAGGGCCACATTGAGCCAAGCGCCGAACTCAGCGCATCGGTGTGGAGACCCACCATCCTTCAAGCTCTTCTACGGATGGGGAGCTCAAGGCCCAGATGGCATCGTACGGATACTTGCTGGATCGCTTCTGCGCGTGCCAACCCTAAACCCTAAACCCTGAACCCCTAAACCCTATAAACCCCAAACCCTAAACCCCTAAACCCTAAAGCCCCTGAACCCTAAGCTTCAAGCCCACAGTCATTCGCCTCGGGGAATGAAGTTCCCTAAGGCCTGAAGCCCTACTACCAAATCCCCGGCTCTCCGGTTCGAGATAGCTTGGGGTTTAGGGCTTTGGGTTTAGGGCTTAGGGTTTAGGGCTTAGGGCTTTGGGAATAGGGCTTATAGGGCTTTGGGTTTAGGGTTTAGGGCTTATAGGGCTTTGGGCTTAGGATTTAGGTTGCAAACCTCGGAACCGACCGCTCTTCGCAGCCACCTTAGGAGCTCTAAACCTTCAGTCTCAAAGCTCCTATGGAGTTTTCGAAAATTAGGGGGTGCCTTATTTTGGAGGTCCCTTATAATAAGGATCGCCAAAAACATCCCGAAAACCCAAAGCCCACTCAACCCTCAACCATCAAAGCCCTAAGCCCTAAACCCTCAACCTTCAAAACCCTAAACCCTCTAAACCCTATAAACCCTAAACCCAAATCCCAGAATCCACAAACCCTAAACCCTAAACCCTAAAACCCAAACCTAAACACAAAGCCTGAACGCCCAAGCTCCTAAAGCCCAGCCCAGGGATCCCCGGAATTCTGCGCCCTCAACCCCCACGCCTTACCTGTGACCCCAAAACCTACAAAATAGTCGGTTTAGGGTTTAGGGTTTAGGGGTTTAGAGGTTTAGGGGTTTAGGGTTTAGGGGTTTAGGGGTTAGGGGTTAGTGTTTAGGGTTTAGGGTTTAGGGCTTAATTAGAGGGTAGAACCCATAAAACGGTAGGGTTTTGGATCCCCACGCCTTCAATTGTCCCAAAGCTTTTGGGTTTACATAGGCTCTATAGGGGTTCTTAGGGTTTAGGGTTTGGGTTTTAGGGGTATAGGGGCTTTCAGGGTTTAGGGTTTAGGGGCTCTTAGGGTTTAGGGTTTAGGGTTTGGAGTTTAGGGGTTCTTAGGGTTTAGGGGTTCTTTAGGGTTTAGGGTTTAGGGGCTCTTAGGGTTATTGGGGTTCTTAGGGTTTGGGGTTTAGGGGTTCTTATCTATAGGGTTTAGGGTTTAGGGGTTCTTAGGGTTTAGGCGTTCTTAGGGCTTAGGGTTTGGGGTTTAGGGGTTCTTAGGGTTTAGGGTTTGGGGTTTAGCGGCTCTTAGGGTTCATAGGGTTTGGGGTTTAGGGTTTAGGGGTTCGGGCTTAAAGGGCTACTGGAGGTTCTGCTCATCCACGATATCGACGGCAATTTTGCTTCGTTCACGCACTCTCCGCAGGTGGCGGTCCTGGTTTCCCTTACCTAAATTCATCCCAAACCTTTGCGACCAAAGGTCGTAATAAGCACAAAACCTGAACCCGACTGTGGAGTATATGTGAGTGTCCAGGGCTTCCCAAAGGCCACCGAGAAAGAAAAACCTAGCCGCTGATGCACGAATCCTGCAAAGTCAAAGTGGTATGAGCCTCCCTAAACCGAAGAACCCCTTAAGTCCCAAAGCCCCGAAACCATGAAACCCTTAGGCCGTAAGCCTGCAAATGCCTGGCGTAGTCTTGACAGAACGAGTCTTTCGGGATGGATGCACTGGTATATTTATGTGGTATGGTGGGGCTATAAGAGGACATGAAGCCGAACCATGCGCACCCTGCACAATTCGAGCCGAAGCAAGGCATTGGGGGTTTTAGGGCGTGCCATTTA